GCGGGCCGCCGCTTCCTTGCAATAACTTCCGAAGGAAAATTCACGATAATAGAGACTACTGCCGCCTGTGTGAATTTCGCATGCAAGTGTGCTTACGCCACTCCTCCTCGACCGCCCTTCTTCTCGCCGAAACCCTCTTCTCCTCCACCCTTTATTCTTTTCCCTCCTCGTTTCTTTTTTCCTCTGCCAACGAGATCTCTCCTCCTTCTCTCCTCTCGTGCCAACCCCTCGTTTCCTTCTCCGTTTCTCACGGAGCCTCGTCTTCCTCCTGGATTTTCCCCTCTTCCTCTCCCCCTTCTCGCCCTCGTCGTAGACCCAAACGACGTCCGCGGCGGACCAAGAGAGGCTGAGCTAGACAAATAGTCGCACCGTGAAATACCGCCGCCTCCTTAAAACTTTAAAGTGTTTCGAGTAATCCTGAGGCGCGACTTTAGATCATGGGGGGATACTCCCATTCTCCCTCCTTTTCCTCCACAACCTTCTTCTTCCTTGCTCCCATTCCCTTTTTCTTCTCTCTCTTCTCTTTTCTTCTCTTTACTTCTTTCTCTCCATGGCGTTATACGGCATGGCGTGCACGAAGACGTTACCGCGAATATCGAATACAAATGGCCGCGCTCTCTCTCTCTTTCTCTCCCTCTTTCCTCTCGATGAGGAGGAGATCCGTTTAGGGAGGGGAAGGCTCTTGTTCCGCGGTTTGATCGCGGTTGGAACGACGATTTAGGGTTAGGTTTTATAGCTGCAATTTGCACTGAACGTTACCCATTACGCGGAGACGTTTGTACGACTATATACACTCCGATCGTATTTTTCCGCCGCTCGTTTTTCCCTCATCCAGACGAACCCTTCGTCGTCGTCGAGTCCGTTGAAAACGTATCATTCTCGCGTTGAAATCGCGGTGAAATCGAAGATTCGCGTATAAATTTTTAATTTATACGCGAAGTTGTAATTGTTAGAATGGAGAGGAGAGAGGGAGAGGAATGGGTGGATATAAAAAGAGATAGAAGAGGGAGAAGGGTGAAAAGGTTGGAAACGCTAGAAATATAAAAATTTTGGATTGCTTTTTTTTTCTCTTTTTTTCTTTTTTTTAAGAGTAAATTCAACGCTAACCTGGCTCGACGATCAACATCACTGTGTCCGTTCGCCCCTCGGTCGGTCTGCACGAATATTTCCCGACATCGTGCGGCGTGACCGCTGCCAGAGTCAATTCCGACACTGTTCGAGCCGCGCCTCTTTCGGTCTCCACGTTTATTCCCCCTCGTGCAGCCTGGAAACAGTGCAAACAGGGCAAATGCGACGTGAAATTCGGCGCATAAACGCAAAGAGAAACATTGGACGAAACGAATCTTTCTCTTCTTTCCATTTTTTTTTCCTCCTCTCCTCTTTCTCCTTTTCTCTCTCTCTCTCTCTCTCTCTCTCCCTATAACACCTGGCGAAATAACCGGTTACCTGGTTACACCAACATTCGTGAATATATCCCCATATATGCCCGTATTTACGATTAATACCGTTTTATCTGTAAAAACACACATTATACAGCAAACACGGTATCCACTGGTTGTTGACCGTGCGAATATTATTACGATCGAAAAATACGGCGAATGCGGAAAATTAAATAAATCTCCTCCCACCCGCTCGAACCCGGATTGTAATTTCGTATAATAAATCTGGCAAGATGAATCTGGCGCATGGCTTCTACGGATAAATTTTCAACAGTTCGTCTATCATTTCGTTCGCGATACCGCCCCCTCTTCAATTTTTCATCGATTTAAACGATCGATGGATCACTTCCATCCATAATTACACCCGTAAAAAAAAGATCTCGAATTTCATCGTAAACGAGAAACTCGCGTTCGCTGTTCTTCTATGCGATATTTTCCACTGTGAAAGGATTCGATTCTTTTTTTTTTTTTATTTTTATTCAAATAACGATATTTTTTTTCTTTTTGTTTTTTTTAATACCTCGATTTCATTAATACCTCTCCACAGGGCAGAAAGTGAAATTCGATACGCGCAAAGAAAAATCTTGGAAAGTAGGGGAAGGGGGTTGAATACGACGAACGGTTGTCGTCCCGGCATCGACACGATGATTTATGATCGTGTTTCTTTCGTTGGAGAGATTCTCGAGAGTTGGTGGTGGACGGGCGGAAGAGGGAGAAGGGTTCGGTGTAAAAAATTTCATTAGAGTCTGTCTCGCGAGAAGACGCCGAGCTGTGCATTACCTGGAATGTTAGGAGTTTGTTATCCCGGAGCCATTGCACGCCCCTGATGGGCCGAGTCTGATACGGGGACAATATGACGCACCTCAAGGTGATGGTCGACCCCGATGCCACACTCTGCTCCCGTGGACCCATTATCGCAGCCACTGGTGCCGTGCTCTCGTAACCTGAAATCCATGCACGAACGAAATATCGAATTACAAATACTTGGGTAAGAATTCAATTGTCTTTAAAATGATAGGGTGTGCGTATGTGGTTTCGAGATATGGAAGATTCGTTGAATTTATCACGCTATCTTCGAGTACTCTTTACAGTTTATTTTTTCGTGAAAAAGAATTTCACAGGAGTAAAAAAAAAGGTGGTGTAATAAAAAAATTGAAACGGGATAGAAGGCGGAGTAATTCTTCCCCATCTGTCGTTAAATGTCTCTTAAAACTTAATAGAGATTACGTAGCGTGATATTTCAACGAATATTTTGTGGAATATAATTTTTAATTAGAGTCGTTAATCCTTCGAAGAATTTTTCTTATCAAAGTTAGCCCGTTTCGCATATAGACCGATTAATGCGTTCTATATATTTAAAAGTGCGCTTCTTGCGCGCGTTCGTTTGAATAAAGATACCGCACGTTTAAAACAATGTTAAACAGCTTATGGCCCCGGAGATCCGAGAAGAAAGTAATTACGCGAAGGGTCGGAACTTGTGGTAAAAAGAACGGAACGTGTTTTATGCCTGCCCGGCCTGCCTGGAAAAGTAGATTCATTAAAAACCGTGCGGTACGACGAAGCCAAGATTTACGGAAGTATGTGACCGACTATAAACTGAAAACTTTACCTAACAACCATTAATGACTCTCCCCAATCCAAGCCTTTTTTTATTTATCGAACCGATTGCATCGGATCGATTAACGATCGTTCATCGAAAATAAATAAATACCGAAGATAATATTCATCACGATATTCTTCGATAACTTTTTCATCGATATAGAATCGAATTAATCTCGTTTGTGCATCGATCGTCAATCGATCCGTAATTCGTTCTTCGTTTCTCCATTAAATCCAACGCGTCCAAAAAAGGAATTCTTTCTCATATATAGCTCCTCTTTAATAACGCGCCATTAAAGATTCGAGACGAATCTGTAGAACGATGATTTTAATTAATGCGAATAATGTTTTTTTTTTTCCTTTTTTTTTTTGTCTCTCGAATCTTGCATACGCGCCACTTTACAAAGTAAAACTGCGCACGGTGAAAAAGAAAGGCGTAACACGCTTTTCCGTCCCGGACGCATGTACTGTCAAGTTTGTACATTTTAATTTAGAGAGTCGGCACAAGTGGCCGTTTAATATGCGTGCCACCGTGAAACGACGTGTTTTTCTCGCGCCATGCGAGCCTGTTCGCCCCAATTCCCGCTTAAAATCGAACCACGCGACCGACCCCGCCGCGAAAAATCGATTCGAAAAATAAACCGTGTATACGCGCCCTCTTCAAAACCGGTTTCGATTTAAAAATACAATTTTCAGAAGCTCCGTTCTAGAAACGGAGCTCAATCTTTCTCTTTCGAGAATTGTAGACTCAACATTATTATATTTCATTTTGTAATCTGCAAAAATTCTTTTTCGAGATTTAATTCCATATCAAAATCACTCTATCCCCGTATATAAAGTATATATATATAAGAAGTATCTTTGGAGGATCGATTTTAAGAGGCCAAGGAAGAAAAAATAAAGATATAAGTCGAAGGTTTATTTATTGCGAATAATTTAAATTAAACGATGCTATATTTTCCCTACCGACTTTTCTTCGTATTTATTTTCCCCTCCAGAATCGATGTTCCGAAGGGATATCCCAACAAGGGGATATCCACCAACACGATCCAGAATAAGGTTTGAAGAATAAGGTAACGAGGTGTGGGGAGGGAAGGAAGAGGGGATGGTGAAGAGGAGAGAGAGCGTTAGTTCTCGCCTTCGGGTAGCTGAATATCCTCAGTCCGGAAATTGGAGTTTGAAGTGTGAAGAAACAAGGGAGAGCCGTCTAGTGCGCGGTACAACAGAGGCGGCCTAATAATTCATTACAGGGCGAAAGGGAAAAACAATGGGAGGCTCGTAAGGGGTTTGCCACCCATGGCGTGTACGATAATGTCCGGGACAAGCATACATTATTCAACGAAAGAGAAAGAGAGAGGGAGGAGGGGGGAGAGAATCGCGATAGTTGAGACTCATTTAAACGCCACGTTCCCTTGCTGAGGAGTCCATGGAAGCGCGGTTATGGCCGCGCCAGGTGACGAGGAAAAAGACCCAGAGGAGAGCCAGAGGAGGTTTTCCACGACTACCAGGATTAAGGATAATCCTATTAGACTTGAATTAATCCCCTGGGAACTGCATTTCTCCTCGACGAAATATTAGGTTATGCAGTTATTACTGTACACGGCCGTGGCCAAAAGCCTGTTTTTCCTTGCCGCTTTCTCGTGCTTTCTTTGCGCTCCCATTCGCCAAGGGGAATTACTTCGATTATAATTGTCACTGATCCTCGCGATCTTTATTTATCATTGGGTCGCTCGAGAAAGATAAAGGGTTAAAATTGTTGCTTAAACGTTGGATTTTGTTCTTTATATAGAATTTGTAAGGAAAGTTTTCGATTCTTCGTTCCGAAGAATGTGTCTTGGTTCGCGCAATTTTCAAAGAGGATTAATTGATTTTTCGAGGGAGGGATGTTGAAATCGATCCTCGTTTCCGACGCTTGTTTCTTTCGCTGCTCTTACACATTTGACCTCGAAGTCGATAGCAATTTGGCGATCCGAGAACGGATCGACGAGGATGAATTTCAGGCCGAGAGCAATAAAGAAAAAGATCCCAGAAATCTCGCGTCCCGGAGGATGAAATGATGGAACTTGGAAAGAATTATGAAGCGTCTAGAAGGATGGCGCAAGAAGAATCGACGACAGATCCCGGGCGTCAAAGCCAGCGAAGAAGCGCACTTATCTTTAAGTGATTGATGTCGACTGGATCCGTTCGAGGAATAAAAAGCGCCTGTCGGATGATTTTTTAACGGGCCAACGGGTGTATAAAGGTGTCACGACATTCCTCCTCGCGAGAAGAAGAATATATCAAGTTCATCGGCGCATTTAAGGGAGGAAAATGGACCGGTATTCGAAAAATTTATCAACTCTTATTCTAATTTATTAACTTTTATCTTGTGATAAAAAAAAAAATCTCGATTCGTCCATCTCCGCATCGATGATAATCGATATAATAATGACGATGAAAATTGGAGGTTGGAGCATCGTATAAATGTAATTTTCAATGGGTGAAATGCGAAAATTATAGCGACAAAGTTTCATGCGATATATATTGGAGAGATTTTCGTGCGGATTATCGTGGAAACGGGCGAAATATCTACTAATTTGCTCGTTTAAAAGTTTGCAATCGCATAACTGTACGAGCGTACGTACATTCCTCTATTGCTCTCGAATACCTTCGTACAATTTGTACCTCAAAAATTCGTAAGCTTATTATGGGGATAGAGCACGGGGAACGCGATTTAAATATAAAGGGAATGAAAAGTCGAGTCTATTACCTCACGGGTGAAAGGGACACAATGAAGAGTAATTGTATCTGTAAGAAATTGAAAATCCTCTTTGGAAAGTTTCCGCTTGGTGAAAATTCTATTTTCTCAAATCCGAAGAGAGGGGTGGATCGATCGAGGTAAAATTTACGAATTTCTATCGGAAAAATCTTTGCGTCGTCGCAAAGACGAGCGAGAATTTTTCCAACGGAATTTTATCCCGTTCTAATTCGACCGTTCGTGCTATTGATTCGAATTAAAAAAAAAAAAAAAATAAAATAAAAAAAAAAAGAAAACGAGAGAACGCGGAGATTAATTTTGCACAAATGGATTGACACGGGGAAAACTTCCAATGAAGTTTTCATTGCATCGTCGACATATGTACATCTGTCATACCGAATCGGAGAAATATGCAATAAAAGCGCGCGCGCGACCCATGGGCGACGATTTATCGCCGGGATTTTGATTAAAAATATTTTTTAATCATCCCTGACGTTGATATAAAAACATGGAGTATTTATTCGCCCCTCGCCCGTGACATTGCTTTCCGGCAACCCGGCTTCATTTAAATTTAATTTGACAAATGCCGATGTGAAATTAGACTGGCCGGCGGTCTTTAAATTTATCCACGTGTATTCTATTCGAATCCCTCGACACACAATGCAGGGAGACGACACATCCCTGAGATGGAAACCCGTGGAACTAATGGTACGTGCACAAGCGTTGTAACTATCCGACCGAAAATAAACCTTCGTTTTCACGAATAAACCTTCGCTTACTTATTCGCGTCTGCTGAGAATGCGGCTCGTCGTAGCCCTCCGGTTTGTCAGGATCTGGAAAAAGAAACAATGGATATATATATATATATATATATATATATATATATACATGTAGTATTTTGTCACACACACACACACGGTCGAATTTCGTAACCGGATAAATAATATTGAAAGCCGAGGATTTTATGCAATGCGTGTTCGTTCCTTTTTTTCCCCCCCGTATTCTCGTTACATTCGTATTTCCAAGCATTACCATATAATTAAAAATCGCAGTCGGGGGGAG